CATATTGATAAAAACTTTGAAAGAATTATATCAGAAAATATAGTTATTATAGCTGGAAAGCACAAATTCTTATAAATTTGATATTGGAATCTTATATTTTTAATTAGGAAACTCAAGTCCCGTATAATGGAGATGGATCTTAACGCGTGTACAGCTTATACATTAGCCCCTTTAGCTAGTACTAGGCAAACACTGCAGTACTAACATCAGTTTTATTTATGAAGTAAATGGACGAAAGTTCTTTGCTTAAGTGAACTAGGGTATCTGTTCAATCAATCCTCTTGATTGAAAATTTTGTCGTTTAAACGAAAATAAAGCTTTATTTCATTCTTTTATGTTACCAGTTACATCACTCGAGACCGACGATGTTGGATAGTAACTTGATTACAAATATTAAATTGAGAACAACAAGCAAGTGTATCAACTCAATTACATATATTTTAAATATAAATTAATTGTGAATCCATTACTCTTGCTATGCTACAAAACGGTCATTATTGGCAAATATTTATCTGATGACTTTATATAAAGCACTTTTTAATTCCACAATTCTTCTACAAAAAGGAAGAAAAAGTTAAAGTTAGAGGCGGTGAATGTTAGTAATAATTTTCCTCAATTCTCACGTCGCCCGTTTTGAAATAGTTTATTAACTAAATAGTATCTATTTTTTTGTCATTAACTAAATTCTATCTGTAATGGGCCCTTTGTTCCTCTCCCATGCAATTAGTGGCCCAAACAGTTCCTATCAGTACTGAGTTGAAGATCTCTCCTTGCTCAAGATATCCTATGGGCCTGGTTCATTCCTGCTTTAATGGACTTTGTGGTCCAAGAATTTCAGCCTAATAGTTATCCGTAATTGTTCAGATTTTCAGAGGTACCCCTTGACCAATAACATAAAAATTCAGACGAACCCTAAATTAATTGTGGTGAGGAATGATAATAAATTGCAATTTTTTAAATACATTATACTAGCAAAATAGATTAAATATCAGGCAAGTTGGATATCAGAAGGAATAAACTCTTTGCTTAAAATAAAGGAAAGATTTGTAATAAAGTTTAACTTTTTTTATAAGTCTTTGATTAATTTGGTTTGTCAAAAATTAAAGCATTGGATATTATAAACATATCTGTACTGTATTTGATATAAAAAAGAGATGAAAATATAAAGACAAAAAAGATACTCACCAAATTATACAGAATCTTTTGTCATATGGACAATATTATTAAAAAGTCAAATTTACTTCACTTCCTTCGTGCCTTCGTCGTATTTGGTGAGTTGCTTTCTTCTCGTCTATTTGTTATTTTATCCATTATTCATCATTTATTCTTTTTATCAAAAGAATTTATCATCCATTAACTATTGTTGTAATAATAATTCCTCGGTTACTTTTTTTTCCTAAACAAGTAGTCTTATAAAGTGTAGCACAAACAAATTTATAATTTTTATATTAAAAATATAAAAATAAAGGTTGTATTAATTGTTTTGTCTAACATTTTTCATAAACAAATGCTCTAACATTTTTTTTCAGTAATTTGATAACCAAAAGTATTTTTCCCCATGAACAGAAAGCTGATACAAACAAAATAAATTATTTTCATAGGCGATGCTTCATTACTTAGTTTGAGAGCTGACAATTAATGATTTGGTATATTTTTGATGTATCACACCGAAATGGCTCAGCGGCTGAAATCGATCAGCAGTTAGCATCACTGCTTATTATGCTCAGAATCTTCATGTGAACGAATAATGGAAAACTATGCAGACGACGGACGGAAACCTTAAATGGACCTTAACAATTCTATAAATTGCTAATATTATTATTCGATCTTAATGTGAATCTTAGCTATAGCTTTAAAAAAAGTGATAAATTCCACTTGCTGCCATTTACTTTTGAGATGCTTGTGCGTGTTGTTTATTCTGTTCTGAAGTCTTTGTACCGAAGGATTCGGTGAACAAAATCTCAGATTACGTATAAGCGTTGAAATCACCTTCATGATGCCATCAATTCATCAATTGGATTATTCACATATGGGATTCCTTACTATTAGCTCTCTTAATAACTAATTTTTCTGTGTGATATTAACAAAAATCTATGGTTAATACTTAACCATTCCAATACCAATAATCAACGTAAATTAAAAATCTTGTCATAAATTCACAAATATCGTGACAATAGGACACATCCCCCATTGTTAACCTTTCGTATTTTCTCACGTGAACTGATTTGAATATATATATATATATATATATATATATATATATATATATATATATATATATAAGCCACGTTAACAACTATATTTTTTTATTAAATAAGGTTAGTTATATAGATTAAAAAATATTATAATATTTTATTGTAAATTATATTCATAAACAAATCATTGGTATTTTCTTAATTGTTTTACCTACAATTTTATAATTTTGTCAATCTTCCTATGCCTAGCTACTAGGCACCTTCCATATGATCTATTTTTTTTGTCCTGAATTTTATAAGCATCCTCTTATATGTTAAAACTACCTAAAGTAACATTTTAATACAATAACTATTATCTCAACTTCTTTTCAAAGCATTGATTTCTATTCGTATCTTCAAAATGATTATTCATTCAATGCAATATTCTCATTTTTATTACGCTGAATTAATTCTCTAGCTAGCTTATAACTATTTGATCAATATTCAATTTCATACAATATTTTTGACTTGTAATTATGCAATAGAATATTTTTTTTAATTGAAGGATTATTTTTTTATTGCAAATAACATTGAATACACGTTTTTTTTATTTATTTACTTCGCTTAATAGAGCTAACAAAACATATTATTTCAACCCATTCAATTTGACTCGTAGTGGGTAGTAGATTTGACTAAAAAGATTCAAATTTAATTTAAACTCATAAAAAATTGTCCTCAAAATGAGTAAATTTTATTTTATTTTGTAAATGTTTACAAACTTAATACACGTCAAATTAACTTTATTAGATTGAGTTGACAAGATTTATATTTAATTTTAAGTTTAAAGTATAAATTTTAAATTATATATTTCATTGGACGATTTGGGCTTGTCGGATTGGACAAACTCATTTGATTAGTTTATGCTTGAATCATGTTTTGTACGCACTAAAGACACGTAATAAACGTTATTCCAATATTTTTAGTATATTCATTCTTAATATTATCTTGTTTTGTATGTTTATTATTCAACATAACATTCCCATCATGACTACACTGAGTTAATTCTCTTGTTTGCTTTTGATTCGGTGTTTTGCAAATTTCATCTTTTCTTTTAAATACTTAAATTATGTTAATTGTGATACGTATCTCTGTTCTCTAAATTTCATCTTTATACTTAGATTATTGCCTGTCTTAACAAAATTTACATGTCATAATGTTTTATTTTACTTAAATAAAAGTGATAATATTTTAGAACTCGTCTCTGTAACTCTAGTTTCATATTAATTTCATCTCTTAATTCTTTAAGTAGAATTATATATAATCTAGCATGATAAAATTAACATTAATGCGTCAGGTATATAAAAATGCATTTAAAGGTATGAGCACAAGTTAAAAGGAATCTGCTTAGTTTAGAAGCGATTCAAGGATAGTATTGCATCGCACGTGGACAGATCTGAGAAGGATTTATCGAAGAATAAGAATTGGATACTGTTTGAAGGATGAAAAACAAATCACTAGAAATTTCACACATGCATCCTCATGCTTAATACCAATATATTATAAAATATAGCATCTGTTTGTGGGTCACTATATCTCCGAATTTCGATCTGCACAACTTAAGTTCAGAATAAACCATAAAGTCCCGATATCTAATCATAATAATAACAATAACACTGAAAAATAGTATTATCATTAATCCTCAGTCGTTACGACAATAGGACTAATTTTTTAAGATATTTACTAATTAAGTCAAAAATAATATTATAATTTTTATATAATAAGTATTTTTTAATAAAGTCTTACTTTTATTTTCTCCAGATGAATGCTAATAAAACCAAAAAACAGTTGTCAGATTCGAATGAAAAAATAGATATTACAATGTCTTAGTTGGCATAATCCTTTTTAAATAAAAATTTAAAAATTAATATAAGGTCAATATAAATTAATATCTCTTCTTTCTCATACATGCATATCGTCAATCAAGATATTACAGTAAAGGAATGATTATCAATAACTTCGATTCAAAATTATCTTCATTCAACTTTTGTGAAAATTTGTCAAATCATTTGAGTTATTTATTATTAAAGTGGCTTATCACATTTCAATAATTAATAATACTAAAAAATTATTAAAAATAATACTTATTATAGTTTATATATTTAATATAATAAATATTTTTTAATGAAAATTTATTTTTGAACTTTTGTTAAAAACGTTTTTTAAAATATTTTTGAAACAGTCCTAAATTAAATATTTACCTTTTAAAAGTATTTTTTTTAATCTGCAAAAGTTACATGTAATAAAAATATACAGATACTATTTTTTTTTATATATAATTTAGTATACTTTGTTACATTAATATTATTAAATATTATTTTAACAAATTTTTATTAGAAAAAATTGATAAAGTTCGGCTCAAAATCTTCGTTACAGTTAGTATATTTTTTTAATTTTTGCTTAAACGAATAAAATTTTACTTAAATAAAAATACATTAACTATAAACAGCAGTTTGCACTAAAAATGTAAAGAATGTTTTCCTTAATAAACCATTATGAATGGGTTAGTTAGGTTCTATTATCAATCAATTTGTTAGTCAGTATCCATATGATATGTTAAGTTGCATTTTCTCTACTATCAATACATATACTAAATTGTAACACCTTTTTTATTCAATACAATAACGTTAATTACTTCTTGGGAACTTTTCTTTTATTCTATGACACCCTACTCTTTGGCCTCATGAAATGGGTATCACGTCAATTACACATCAAAATTCTGATAACAATATTGTACAAGCATAAAAAAAAAGGGTTAAAAAGAAGATTAATTTGAATCTTGGCACAGGAACCACCACATGGAAGCTTCCCCATACTGCTCCATTTCTGAGTGCATCTATAAAAGGCTCGTTTACTTTATACGAACTAGCATGCTTCAATTTGACTTCTCTCTTCCTGCTTTATAGATTCCAAACAACAGGGTCCTATTGCTGCTTAATTCACGCTTTATTTCAAGCCCAACTAGCTTGAAGATGGTAATTGACCGTGAAAGTAGGAGATATGCTCTGCTACAAGCAGTAAAAGATTCAGACTACATAAAGAAAGTACGGGGTGGATACTACAACCTTTATGTACAAGCTTTTGGGGATGAAGGAGAGAAGTGGGATTTGTTTAGAGTCTATGAGGGGGATTTCCCTGACTTCAATGAGCTACATAAATATGATGGGTTTGTGATCACTGGTAGCCCCTACGATGCCCATGGAAATGATTACTGGGTCCTCAAACTCTGTTTCATGTTGAAAATTATGGATGCCATGAAGAAGAAAGTTCTTGGCATTTGCTTTGGTCACCAGGTATGTTTTCTACATCTTCACTCATGTTTATTATGCTTTCCCGTGTCTGTTTTCACTTTTGAATGATCTATTTGGATGGAGGAAAAGCACAAGAGAAACAAAGGTAAAAAATGTTATATGTTTAAATGGAGTGAAGGAAGAGGAGAGGTGTTCCTTAGGGAGTTTTTATTTTTTTATATTCATATTTAAAAAATATTTATATAAGATAAAAATATATGTAAAAGAATTCATTAAAAAGAAGTATTACTAAAAAATAAATAAACTTTTAAACTATTTTAATTTTTTTATAATAATTTTTAACAATTTAATTAAATTTTTATTCATCTAAACAAGTAGGGACTGTTTTTTCTCATTATTTATTTTAATTCTCTAAATATTAAATATTTTTCACTCTATAACTCATCCCCCCTTTTTTTATTCTATAAAACTTTTTCAAAAATAATTACTTAAATAAAAGCAACAATAATTACACTTTATTTTTATTTGAGTTCTTTTTGTCGATAACTCATCCAATAAAAAAAGTATTTAAGATAACCATAAGTTGCGAATATAAATTTTTAATTTAAATTAATAAAAACACTAAAAAGAGTTTAACATTTTGTTAAGTTTTAATTCTTTGATATATCTCATTGGTTGGTGAATGTCGTCCAACAACGTATTACAGCGTATATTTGATGATGATGAAATGATGTTATTGGTGACAATTTTGGGAATGGCTTTGGGGTTGTAGGTAATAAGCAGGGCATTGGGTGGAAGGGTGGGAAAATCTCAAACGGGATGGGATATTGGCATAAGAGAAGTGCATTTGGTGAAAGACGTAGGTCCATATAGCTACCTAGTGCAGCATGACATGTCAGCATCTCTTTCAATCTTTGAGGTACACCAAGACGAGGTTTATGAGGTTCCTCCCGGTGCCCAAGTGATTGCATCTTCAGAAAAAACTCGAATCGAAATGTTTGGAATTGCAGACCACATTCTTGGAATTCAGGGTCATCCTGAGTATACCAGAGATATACTGTTTGATCTCATTGATCGCCTTCTCAATACAGATATCATAAAGGTACCATCAATATATTCCCTTGTTTAGACTGTGAGCTTTAAAATATAAGTGTTATTTTAATATTCTAGTGTATATATCTGTTTTTTAAAATTATTTATTTATTTTAATATTCTCATTTCTCCTAAATACACAATAAATTTTTTAGTAAATAATAAAATTTTATTATATCATTTAATATTATTACGTGATTTTAATATATTAGATATTGTAATTTTTATAAAAAGAATGTTAAAACCAAACTGCTCCATAAGTCTGACACTTATTGTTATAATACAGAAAGAATTTGCGGAAGATTTGAAGTGTCGAATTCAGTTAGCGGAGCCAAACAAGCAATGCTGGGAAATGATATGCCGGAACTTTCTCAAGGGAAAGTAGAGTTGAGGCACCTCTTACGTTTATGCATCCAAGTTGGGATCTTCTTTACTTTCTTTGTAGAAGACCTAGATTAGCTCACGTGTCTTGGAAGAATTTATTCTACGTTTCAGAATTAATGTATGTATAGTCTCAGTTAATTTTTGCATAACACATCGTCAAAAATGTTGATTCACGATGATAAAATTGGCCACGAATCGTATAATAAGATGATTAGTTAAGAGCATAAATATGGGTGGGTTAGTTTCAGAATATGCAATAACTTTTCACGTCTTGGATAATTTGCCATCATACTGTGTACGGAGTTACAGAGCATAGTGAAATATGTGAAAAAACAAAGAAACTAGAGGTTTCTCAATATTTCTAATTTCTATTGAGGGAATCGACAATGATATATACTCTCTGTTTTTCTTTACGAATTTAAAAATCGATAGCTGTTTAATCAAAGTTACTGGATACATATATTGGTGCATACTGGATAGTATATATAGAGTTCTCCAACACAAGATATTTCATATAATTGTTGACGGTGATATTTGGTTGTGAGTGAGCTATAACGACGTGTGTTGTTATAAAAAAACTCTCAAAAGCGTGGTTGAATTATGAGAATTCTATCATTATATATGAGTCAGTAAGAGACTTCGTCGTTTTGTCCATTGGTAAGTGCGTTTGTTGATTGTAGGTGTGCGTTGTGTATGATGGTGCATGACACGCTAATAAAACTGTTAGATGTCAAATTGTAGTATATGGTTGCGTTATGTAATGATTGTGCCATTTCAGATGTAGCCAGAAAGGATAGTGGTCCGAGTTAGCTAAAATAGTTATCATTCCTTCACCTCGTAGAAGGTCAATTTTATCCAAAACACATTAATCTTCATGTTTATTAGACTAATGACATTGATAGAAACAACTGATCATCTCATATTCACAAGTTGAAAATAAGTCTACTTATATTATTTGTCAAAGATTATCTCTCTTCTAAAAGCTTCATCCTTAGGTAAACAACAAATCAAATAAATCAACAAACATATACCAGATTTTCATTTTTCATGCATTATAATTTATAAACCTCATTTCAACATTAAATCTCAAAGTCGAATTGGTCACAATGGAGCATTGGCACTATGGAGTTGAGATCGTGGAACAAAATGTCATCCACTTGTTCATATCTATTGAAATCTTCGTACTCAAAGTAGGTCTGTATGTGATCAGGAAATTTGCACCTTGGCAACCCAGATTCCAGCTGTGTTGATAAACTGGCCACAGATGTCATCTCCATCATTTCCTTAAACTTGGTTGACTGAAGTAGAAGCTCCAATGCTGACGTAGCACCAGCTGGGCGAGGCTGAGTTGGGACCGACGTGGCTTCTTCTCCAATATTATTTAGTGAATCCTCATTGTGGAAGAAGCTGAATTCTTGCTCTTGATTGGGGTTTGGGGTAAAGTTGGTATCACAATTATGATTTATGTTAGTAAGATGAATGCTAATCCGGTTATTATTGTTGTTGATAGGCTTAAGCCGCTTAATATAACGGCTGAGATCGAAATTGGTGACAGCATTAAGTCCACGATATTCTATAGCTGCCAGGTCATAGGCCGTCGCAGCTTCTTCTTGGGTGGCTGAGAAAATTAGAAAGATTATCACTTTAAAGTTTTTTTTTACTAAGAATACATGATCAATTTTAATTTTAAATTAATGATAATGATATATCATTAATTATATACATAACAGGAAAAGGTTAACAAATCAGATAGAATTGGTGGGTCTTCCTCTCCCATTGAATACGACTGCCAAAGCCATACACATGACACATGCAAACCAGTAGCATGGGGATGAATTAATTAAATAATAGCCCAATTGAATGTCTTGAATGGAAGCAATTTATTAAATGAGACTTCTGTGTGGTTTTGGTCTACAATAATTATACCTAGAAGCGATTTGAAAAAAGTTTGAAATGAAATAGTTTATAGACATGTACAAAATTTAGATGGACTGATCACCTCTAATATAATATATATTGATAAATGTTATAGAGTACTGGTTTAAAAATATGAAGTGATTTTTTTAAAATGTTAGTAATGTATCTTTTCGCTTAATTGTTAACGCAATTCAATACAATGTTTAATTAAAAAAATTTACTTTTAATATCTTAATCAATAGTGTCATAAGAGTATTGATTAGCAAGACTCTAATAAAAATATATTAGAAAAATATTAATATCAATTTTTAGGGTTGAGTTTAAACAATTAATAATAATGAAATTTTATTTTGGAATTTTAATATAAAAATGTGTTATTTTTAAATAAAAAATTATTATTTTTAGATATTAATTAAACTTGACAGTAAACAAAATTTTTATTACTATATCAAAAGACAAAACCTTTGATATAGTTATGATAGCTTACCGTAAGTTCCGAGATAAAGATATTTATTGCCAAAAACTTTGCCAATCCTAGCCTCCCACCTTCCGTTATAATGATGTCTGATCATGGAAAAGCAAGTCATGAAATTTTGATTAGAATATGATGTTTTGGATTGGGAGTATGGTTGATTTCGAAGACATGAATCAGATCAGTTAATTGGCAGATATGAACTTCACATGGTTAATTAATTTGATTCTCAGTCCGTAGGATAAATGTGTTACTACATATATATGCATACCTTGCAACGCCTCTGTATTTAGAAACTCCCCGAGAAAAACCACTGCTTTTCCTGCAATTTTATTTTTAAAATATATCTACATTAAGCCACGATTTTTACTGAAATCTTCTTGATTACCATAAAGAAGCATGGTAGACGGGCTTGAGCTTTACCTCCTTATTGATCCAATATACTCCTCCCTTGATTGACCCTCCATTTCTTTCATTTCGTTCTGGTAGTTTGATAACTGCGATTGGATCACAAATTTGGCGTGTTTTTCATTTCTAAGATGCATATAAAATGAAAACCACAAACATAACAAAAACTTGTTTATAATAAAATTAAGTACCGGAAAATTAATAATGGTATCTTGACCCCAGTATTTCAGTGCTGCTAGATCATACGCACGTGCTGCTGCTTCTTCATTGTCATAAGCACCTGATCATACAACTTTCTTAACAACTATATACTTGGATTATTCGTTTGGTTTCGCTATTGACCATAGTAATCATCAAATATCAAATATATAATATACGTACCTAGGTAGACTGAAGAAATTGTATGTGAAGAGGAAGAACCACAATAAGATATTTGAGATGTCACAAAGAAAAAGAAATTAAATTATTTAACTAAATAATTAAAGTACGTGTGATCACAAATGATAATTACTATTGTAAAGAAGAACATGAAACCTTGTCGTCCTTTCTTGTTCTGTGACTCATTCCAGCAATGCTTGTCCCACAAATGAGCTTCATATCGGCCTGTCCAACGGTGCCTGATGATGAACACTTTTAAATAAGATGAAGGATTTGAGATAGATTGAAATAAATCTACATGGGATCAACCAAATCAAATACCTAGTGACTCCTCGGTATATTGAGCTTCGTTGAGGTGGGGAGTCTCTAGGGACACTTCTTTTTCGTTTCACCTTGGTGGTGACAGTGTTAAGATTATTGCTATTGCTTGCATTGTTTCTTACCTGTGATGTTTTGGCCATGGGAAAAGTTGCACCACGGCAAATAACAAGTAGGATGATATTAATGTATGGTACATACAAAATAAGTTTATATATATAGAAGATATGTAGGAATTAGTACTGGTAGTGATTGAAGTGAAGAGGTTTTATAAAGGGATGGGCTAAAGGATGGGGTCAGAATAGATTGTGCTGGCAAACATGGGAATAGCCGGCTGAAAGATGGTTGTTTCTGCCCGTCCGTAAATTTGGTTCTATGTTAAAAAATTTCCCTCTCGTCTTCACTCGAAATTTGTGTGACATAACCTTTAATACATTTTTGGAATCTTTTTGACATGTATCTTAATTTGTAAGTTTATCCTTTGATTTGTACTTCATAAACTAGTAATTTTGGTTTACATTATTTTCACAATAACATAAAAATATATATGCTGAAGGTATGTCAGTTTCCTCCCTGTCATTTTTAATAGGGGTATAAAAAATTGCTCAATATGTGGCTACCAATAAGAGGGAAAATATGGTAGACTTTCAGTTTTATTATTTGAATATAAAACTAGTGACACCAAATGTATAATTATGATATGCAATTTTCTTTTATTTATAACTGATTTTTTTTAAAAAAAATTTATACAGATATACAAATAATGCAATCTACAATTAAGGAGGAAATTTTTTTTCTTATTTAACAAATGTTATTACAGAAAATTTTGCTTAGACTTTACAAATTCAATAGGTTTAAGTAAGATTTATTGTTGAGTTAAAATATGTTTTATTTATTTTAAAGGATCAAGCGTGCTGTGAGCATAAAAAACTGAACAATTTTTGTTTAAATGACATGGTGAAAATATTCTAGACTATAGGTGGCAAACTATTCTACAATTGTACTTTTCATCTTATTTTAATTAATTAAGTATTTTCATTTATTTATCCATACAACTAATTAATTGTCTTGATGACGATAATGTAGAGCAAGTACTTAATTGTAAACTTAAATAAGTATGTTTCATTATGTATAGTTTTTAAAATAGCTGCTCAAATTCGACATAAACGAGACTGTTAATATATATAATATATAATGTGTATGATAAGACTCGTCTCATTGAGCTTAAGACTGTTTATCAGTTAATAACAACAATATCTATGAATGTTTGGAGAATGGATATTCAACTGTTATAAATTAGTTAATTAATTTTGATTTATCATTCTATTAAGTCATTAGCTGGTTGAATATGTGTAGAGTAGGCAAGATAAAATTAAAAATATAGGTAGAATGAGTTACACCTAATTATCATCATCTACATATGATTGAACCATTTATTTCATTGACTGAATTACCAAATAATGTAAAGCTCAGCAGTTCCGCCATGTATGTAGGTCTAACTACCCCATGTGGAGGATTAAAAAGGTTGTGTTGGTTCTAAGTTAAGGAGTGTCAAGCTTTTCCACCATTTCTGAATTTGCGAGTTATGTACAAACTTTAATGTTGGTGGGGCCTAAGAATTAGATCACAGTTGCCTTAACCATTTACTACTTCTCTAGTGGATGGGGATGTACAGGAAATGCCATGCACACTTAATTATTAATGAGTATGCGACACATGCATTTATCACAAAAAAAGGGCATGTATTAATTAGTCATGCTTCAGTGTTTAGTAGAAATTTGGTAAGCAAACAATGCTCATTTTTCCAAACACTAACTCTGCTACCGAGGTTCACCTAAATTACACCTAATAGCGAAAATTCATTAACAATAAACCAACTGCCTGTTCTAAGTACAATTATTTTTGATAAATTAATTTTAAATTATTAAATTTAACATTGTAATTTAAACTAATATCTAAAGTAATTTTAAGTTTTAAAAAATTCAAACGTTTATTCTTTGTTAAAAATATAAAAGTGAAAATTTTAACACTAAAACAAACAGCATCTAATTAACTAAAAATGCCAGTTTTTTTTTTGTCCAACAAAAATGCCAGCTTAATTCTACCACCTGGGAAGGACAGAAGAAAGCAGAATCTCCTTAAAGCAATTAGCAAAGCCTAGACAGTAAACATCTCACCCGAAAAGAAGCCCAATAATAATAATAATAATAATAATAATAATAATAATAATTATTATTATTATTATTAAATTATCTGCAAATTTTCATTATTTTATATTATTGTTTACTAAGGTTAAAAAACGGGGAATGAAGTGGGAGTAATTGACAAGGAGTTAACTTGCCATTAATGTTTTCCAATTAGGCCTTGCACCCATATTCATGCAAGGGTTCGTTCCTAGCTTTTCAATTGATGAAAAGTTCACTATATGATTTATGCATCTAATTAAAAAAAAATCTATTTATGAAAAACTTTCGTAAAAACACTGTTTTGGTAGCATGTATATGAAATTAAGACTAGGAACATTATTAGATTAAAAATTAACTAATTTTTATTAAGACTTTTTTAAATTTGTATAATATTATGTATAATAAAAATTATATAACATAAACTTTCATTTAAAAATTGTAGTATTTAACATTTTTAATACAATGAATTTTATAATTTTTACTAAAAATTTGTTATATATAATTTTTTATTTTATATAATATCATATAAATTAAAAAACATTTTTATAATATTTAAAATATAAATATATAAGTTTACATAATATAATTTATGATAATTTCCTATAGAAAAATAAAATAAAATAATGTACCAAATCAAAGACTCAATCATGTACAAAGCGAATTAGTTGACAAAAGCTTGATGTAGATTGAATTTCATTATTTTAACAAATCATGGTCACATAACCCTTGATTCCAATACACTATTACCACACTATTACCGTAGGAATAAAAACTTTAACTGGGAGTTTATCTTATCTAGAAGATTGTAAAATTGAATGCAGAAATTGATGGAGGAGGGTTTATTCGGCGACGAGTAGAGTAGATCTGCACGATAACCACGATCGAGGATGAATAGCCGTCACCGAAACATCAAATCGAAGAGATTCGAACGCCGATTGGTAAAGTTCGAAGAGCTACCTGAGTATTTAAAAGACAGCGAGTTCATCCTCGACTATTACCGTTGTGAATGGCCAGTCAAAGATGCTTTGTGGAGCGTCTTCCAATGGCACAATGAAACCCTCAACGTTTGGACGTATCATTCTAACTTTTACTTCTCACTCTTTCTATCAACATTTTGTGTGCTATACCATGATTTTCTTTTTGTGCAGGCACCTAGGAGGCTTTCTCATATTTGCTGTGTTGGCAGTGATGAGCACAACCACGCAGCTATGGAATTTGCTCAGGTATTGTAAATGCAGGATGCCACATCATTTTGATGTTTCTGTGTGCTATAAGATTAAGAAAGAATGAACTGATTTAGTGTGAGTGTGAGATGCGACCACCAGATCATCGAGGGCGCTCATGTTGTTTACGACCACCATGACGGAGACAAACAACTCTTACAGTGACGATTTCCTGGTAAATTTTATTTAAATTCATTGTTTCATCTAATATTAGTGATTATTACAGATACCTGTGGCAAAATCAATTTAAATTAAATTATGTCTATTACTTCTCTTAACATTAACATGAGAAAAAGTGAAATGCTTTATACATAAAGAGTTTCTTAAGCTGTGCAATGATGTGCAAAGGATAAGAAGTTATATACGAGAAGTTTTTATTAAAAATTATAAAATTCAATAAAATATTAAATGCTATTATCTTTTATGAAATTTTATCACATAACTTTTTACTATGCACAATATTGCACATGTTAAAAAAAATTTATATATAAAAATTAAAATAAATTTTTTAACTTGTGTTATTAAAATTATAAAATATCACATCATTCAATGTATTAATGTCATTAAATGCTACAAGTTTTTAATCAAAACTTACTATTGATTTCTTATCTTGTGTTATGTTAACAAAAATTAAGATTATCAAATCTCAAAATTTATTATTTATTATGTCATTGTCTCATAAGTATAGCAACAATAATTTCTTTTATGTCATTGTTTTTTATGTCATTGTTGCTATACTTTACCATGGACTATCCTCTGACCTAAACACAAGATGACTAAAGAATTCATTGGCTATTCAATCAATTGTTGCTTGTGTTTCCTTCTTTTTTTTTGTCAGGATTTGCATTTGAGACGCATTATAGACCCATCCATCCTTCATGATATGAGAGGATCTGGAGTAGAAAGAATTCCTCGATGGCCATGGTTCATTTTCTTAGCTGGAGGAATGGGTTGTCTTGCTTGCAGTTCTCTTTCCCATCTTCTGGCCTGTCACTCCAAAGACTTTAGTCTATTTTTCTGGCGTCTAGACTATGCTGGCATTTCTCTTATGATTGTCTGTTCCTTCTTTGCTCCAATTTACTATGTGTTTTTCTGCAATCCTTATGCAAGGTTACTCTATTTGGGGTCAATATCTGTGCTTGGACTCCTCGCTATTGTTACCCTACTTGCACCTTCACTTTCTGCACCTCGGTTCCGACCATTGAGAGCCTCTTTATTCCTTTGCATGGGCTTTTCAGGTGTGATTCCCGCAGCTCATGCTCTTGCCCTGCATTGGGGCCATCCCCATATATTTGTTGCACTTGGTTACGAGCTTACTATGGCCATTCTATATGCTGTTGGAGTTGGCTTTTATGTTAGTAGAATACCAGAGCGTTGGAAGCCTGGCGCATTTGATATTGCAGGGCACAGCCATCAAATATTTCATGTTTTTGTTGTTCTTGGGGCACTTGCTCATAGTGTTGCCACACTTGTCATATTGGATTTCCGACTGGGATCGCCAACCTGTGCGTATTAACCAGTTAACAATAAGCTGTTTGTTAAAACTCCTGACAGCAAAATAATTAGAATTTTATTATGTTGGTTTTCCTTTTGCATGAATTGCAAATATAACTGTTGCATGAAATGGCTGGTCGTGACAGATGAGAGTGCAGTTAAACTTTCTCAGCAGAGTAGTAATGCTGTGTTTTAAACAATTCAGATTTAATTCAGACAACCCATTCATTAGAATCTTGAAACAAAATGTAATAACAGAAAAAACCATGAAGACCATTAAAATGGTTTTAAAGGGGACCTGTGCAGAAAGTCTTCAGAAAATGCTTATTTAAGGGCGGATGCTTAAATGGCAACAGGAATTAGACATTTTGGTGTACCTTACAATGTACGTAGATACTTATCTTTCCTCAATATTAGATTAAAGTCAGGCATGTTTACTGTTGTATATTGATAAGCATAATGCTGAAAGGAACATTCCGAAATCAACATATGACCTGATTCGTGAATACAAATATAATTGCCAAATTTTCAGGCCTGAAAAATGATGCCTTGGTCGTTGAATTTAGTCATTGCTTCCTGGACTACGACCTAATTTGTGACCTTCAGCAAAACATGTTTTCAACATGAATTTTTTTTATCACCATCTACAAAAGGAAGCTCAAAACTTGAAAATTTCATCTTGACTGTTTTTCTAAGTCAGTTTTACTTTCACCGTGGCTTTAAAAGGTCGATGAACTTCCTAGATTTTTTCCTTCTTTAGGATTTTGCTCAACTAGCTGCTTGTCACTTTTGATGTCAGTTACCGAAGCATCTTTGTTGATCTTCAGAACTGATTGGCTATATTGTAAACCCATTTTTAGTCACTAGAGTATCATTTAGTGAAGCAGGATATCCATTGTGTCACACTGGAATACCATTGGGATTTGGGTGACAAGGGGAAGCTATTTGGAGATACGGCAATAGCATTTTCGGAAGCCATGTATCCCATTAGGAGGCACAAGATAGCCATTGGGAACCAGGGTTGTCCAGGTACAAATTCATTGGCATGTGGAGTAGGTACAGTTTTATTTCTTAGAACACGATTTCCCTTATCTGTTATAGCCACCAGATATTCGTACACCATAATGGCACCCTTGCCGATGCAGACTGATGAGGTGATCTAGGGGAGTTGACTGCAAAAATAGGAGAAATGTTTACTGGTGGGGATAAAATTCCACCCTGATCTTTGATGCCCGGAATTGGTACTGAGCCAAAAACTGGAATTGTGGATGGGTTTGATGGTGGTGCATCAGCAGAAATTTTCTTTGTTGTTTGCTTATTAGGGACTAATTTATACATCATTTACATTTTGGGGGACTAAATATATGTTAAACATGGAGAAAAATAACTAAAAGACTAAAGTATCTACATTTGTAATTTTGAATGACTAAATTTTGTCACATGTAAATCATTTGTCAAATCACCCTGACATTCTTAATTTTTACTTATGTAACGATGTCTTGCTATAATTCTTTTCTTACTCGATGCATTGGAGAAGACGGACTATCGAATTCCGGTGAAAACCAATAATGATATTCTTTTTTTGGATCAAACAGAAAGGAAAGGAACGCTGATAACGGAAACTACTCTACTTCTAACTACACCAACAGCTTAGGTGATACTTGCATAGGTGATCAAAGATATATTTTTCAACATAGTTTGTAGTTATTGCTTCGGTCCCAACTGGCTTTTAGGATGATTGTTGAACTTTTGAAACTCTGGATTTGCTATTCCAAAACCCTATGTTAGAGTTTTTGAAGTAAAAAAAAAATGATTTATTGTATGGTTGAATTTACCTTCTTTTTTTCATAGTTAGATTTACGTAAGTGGAGATGCTACCAAAAGTAGCTTTCATGTTTCAGTAATGCACATGTGATTAAACGCATTTTGTAAAATTAATTTAGTCAAAAATGTGTTTGAGTGAATTGATTTAAAACTGAAAATATTTGTTTAGAAGTAATTTTAACATTAATAGAAGTGGCTTTTAAACGCATCATTACCAAAAGAACATGAATTTTCTTATTTGATTTTATTAAAATAAGAATATAATATTGAAAAAAAAAATTGTCAATGTATGCGAATAAGATCTTCCACAAAGCAAAAGATAATAAAATATCAAATCACATTTTGAGAGCTTAAATCGACTACTGTAGCCGGTTAAGTTTGGAATTATTGTACACATCCAAACTCAATTTGCAAAACCAGAGAAAGAGTTCAAGAATTTGGTTCGCTAGGCAGAGAAAAAATTAGAAAGACACACAAGGGAACCACCAGAAAAGCTGCAACCTTAAGCAATTCCTCACTCTGCGGCGTTATCACTCCAATCCTTGACCAGTCTCCACTGTACCTAAAAGAAAAATTGAAACATTCCCATGAACTATAATCAATAAAACATCAAATAAACTCGACGAGAAAGAAAACCAAACAAACTAAACTTACCCGGCGTCAATAAACCCCAATCCAAACACCCCAATAGCAGTGCGAGCAATAATAGATTTCGAAACCCTCAAAGGGAAAAGGGATCGTTTTTGAAACTTGCCATTCTCTTGGAACTCCTCCTTTCTGGCCGATATTATCCAAAACCTCGTTCCAATTTCTCTCACAGGAACACAAGAAGTAAGGCATAAAACATTACAACTCCTACCCATGACTTCCATTTCCTCTTATCCACTGTGTTAGAGCCACCCCCATTCCCCAAATATAAAAAAGGGCAACCTCGTAATTTAGTTCGAGGTAATTAAGATTAATGTTCAGGGGTATTTGGGTCATAAAAAACAATTCCTCCCTTTTTGTTTTGATCCAAGCAAATTACGCTTACGAAGGGTGGTGTTGTAGGTGTAGCAGAAAAACCCAGCAAACCCTGGCAATGGCAGTGACGGCAAGTTCAGAAATCCACAGGTTTCCCCAATACAAATACGTCGACGCTGTTCGTTGGCTTCCACCACTATCCGCATTCGATCGATTCGCGGTTTTGGCTCTATTCGACTTCGATTCCGATGTTTCTTCCATCGAAATCCACTCTTTCAAATCGAACCCACTTTCCTTGGAACCCCAATCTTCATGGGTCTCACCTTCCCGCGTTTCCTCTCTTAAAACCTCGCAGTTCCTTCAGAAAACCATAATCGTGGCTTCAACTTCCTCTGGCTCCCTCCACTTCCTCTTCTCCGATTCCACCGACGCGTTGCTAGAATCGGAGGTTTCGGTGCCCGAGGGTGCTCTGCACTCGGTGCCCGCTTCTTGTGTTGATCTAATGGACGGTGGCGTGGAGTGTGTGACCGTTGGGGAAGATGGGAGGGTCAATTTGGTCACTGTCGGAAATTCCAACTTGAATTATCGGAGGTTGTTTGATAGCGGGGGGTTAGTGTCGTACACGTCGGCGAAGTGGGCGTCGCCGATGGAGTTTGCCACCGGTGGATATGGTTTCAGTCTTCAATGGTGGGACCAGAGAAAACCGGGAGGACCGGTTTCCCAGTTTAAGGGTAACTGGTAAGAATTGTGTTAATTCAGTGAGTAACTATTTTTGAGAGTATCAATTTGTTATATATCACTAGTGATTTGCCAATGGGCTCATTGTTTTGTTTTCTAATAAAAACTTATGTTGTGTTGCAGGGATAAAAAATTGACTTCTGGGATTGTGCATTCTATTGACATTCATCCATCACGAAAGCACACTTGCCTTGTAAGATGGCTAGCTAATTGTCCTCTTTGTGGATGTTATTTACATTCAGCAGTAGTTTACTTGTAAATGTATAACTCCTTTAACGGTGCAGTAACCTACTAATGTTGAAAATTTGTACATCTGAAATGTATGTATATATACTATATTGCTAATGTGCTTTATTCATCATTTGGTAAATTTTAAGGCCTGTTTAATGATATTTTAGAGCTGTTGGCTGTTTTTCTCCTCTGCAATAACAGTTGCTTTTACATCAGTTTATCTGATTACTTGTATGGATTTAAATGAAATTGATGGTTTGGGGATGTTCAGTGCTTAGTGCTTTTACTTGTGTGCTTCTGATGTTTCTGGAGATATCTATACTCAGGCTGGTGGCTCCTTAGGTACTGTTTTTGCATGGGATCTTAGGTGGCAACAACAACCGATTATACTTTCGGGAGCAGCAGCTGGGGTTGGCAACAGTGTAGTGCAGTCAATATCTGAAAGTGAGGTTTGGGAGGTTCAGTATGATCGCTGCATAAAATCAAACTCCTCATCTACCCGGATCTTACCTTCTATGATCTGCTCAGAGGATGGAATTCTCGCGGTGATTGAACAAGGTGTGTATTTTCATTGCAATTTGTGACATGTTATAATGCCAATTCATGATGGCTTAGATTTTTTATGTTATTTATGTGGAATCTCCATCCTTGTCCATGGAACCAAAATTTTTCAATTGAACTACATAGTGAGATTGATTTGGTGCATTTGTGATGTTGTGTTCTTACATTGTACAGGGGAGGAACCCATTGAACTGCTGGCAGAACCTTGTGCCATCAATAGCTTTGATATTGATCGACATAATCCATCGGTAAGTGGGGGCAGGTAATATTGTTGGTTTTATTCGGGAATTATTTGATGGTGTTTTTTTTTTTTTTTAAATCGATGGGCATGCAGGATGTGATATGTAGTTTTGAGTGGGAAGCAGTAGCTATATTGACAAGACAATAACCTTCAGAGTTCTAACCTTTGGTGGCTTGAAGTTCAGAAAGGGATAACATTTTGTTACTGATGGAAGGAGTAGAGCTTTTTACGGACCATTTATGCTTATCTATTCGGCAATGATCTATTCCTTTTGTAAAGCCATTTGTGCAAATGGATTTTGGGATTGTACAATTTGCAGCGTGTGTGAAGGTGACTTAAAGGGGTACATTGGATCAATACTATCACTTGTTTTACCTATACATTCCTTGACAGTTATTGATGCTAGGATAGGATCTCCATCCTGGATGTCATTGTATCTATCAACTATTTGATTCCTACGCTGATTTAACCTGATCACCGGAAGCAACAGAGTTGATATTGCATGCCATAGTTAATCTGTTGTATAGAAGAAAATGCGCTATCAATTAGCTTTTTGTAGTCAAACTTGATCTTCATTTATAGACATGCGCTACCAATTCAATTACTATCTTCATAAATAAATGAGGAGTAAGGTTACTCTGTTTTTCTTTTTAATCTCAGTTTGATTTTCTTTTAAACATATAGAAAGGACAATCTTTGTACTACACTCACTTTTGGGATTTAGAGGGGAAAGAAAGAGAGAAATAGAAAAAAATAATAATAATAGAGAAGATGAGAGATATAATAAATAACGAGGTGAATCAATTTCAAGTTTTAAATATTTAATTCAACACAGTTGATTATTTAATCCTTTTTACTAATATTTGCATTCTAATATATTCGTTCTAAATTACATTGTTCCACGACTTTTGTTTTAAAAGAAATTAGATAATATTTTTGCATTTTTAAGTTTTCTTATTTTTATTTTTGTGAATTATCAATTAGCGGCATCATTAATTAATTTTTATAAAATTTATGTTTCGGAGCTAATAAAAGATTCGAAAGAAAAGGAAAGAGAATAAATCAATTTTTCATAAAAATGATTGATTGTTTGGAAAATTTAAAGTGGAGGGAAGAAAAATAAGAAAAAAAAAATGCTCCCTCCAAATTTTCGACGTCCCCATCCGAATTCCCTAGCAAACAGTATATACCGAGAATTGGAAAAGGTGAAGAAGAAGAAAGCGAGAGAGATGGGAAAGGGAAAGGGAAGCATAGATCTGAATAGAAATGGGAAAGAGATGGAGGATCTGAGCGGGCGCGTTCATCAACTTCCCTGTTGTGTCAAATTCGATGGTCCTGCATCTGTTTCCCACTATTTCAAACCCAAACCCTCTGCTAATTTCGACGAGGCTTTCCCATTACAAGAAGCACATTTTAGGGGCAGGTTACTTCAAGGAACCACTCTCAACCTTCCTCACAACTACTCTGGTAAGTGCTATTTTGCTTTTCTATTTTTAACTCTTCATTCTTAACCAATTCGTCCGTATTGATTTTCTAGGTTTTGTCTTGGGTAAGAATACTTCGCCTCCCGCTTCCCATGAAAACTCTCACTCTTGGGAGACCAAGGCAACGTTTCATGACATCACGTATTGGAACCACGACTACGTTCCTTCCCACAATGACGATCTCTTCCGAGCTTTTCATTGGCTCACTGTTGCAAATGCTGTAAGTCTTTTATTTAAATTATTCTGATTTGTATGTTTCATTCACAGTGTTTACGACCCATTCATGGCATCTAATAATAGCATATGACATATAAATTGATCCAAATAATCCAAAAGAACACTAAAATGTGAAAAATAATGTTTACTGCCAAACTTTTTTAAGGTTACCTTATTTGATATTTGTCTGTGACTGCAGCTGCATAATCCTGTGACACCTGAGGAATTGGCTTCATCATCTATTGTGCCCTAGAGATGAGACTACTCTGATATCAATTGCTGTAGCTGTCATATTTTCAGTTAACTTATTGTTGTAATGTTTATGTTTTTGTTGTACGTTGTCTCCAACGGTCCCCTGTGTACTTCCCCTTTTACTAAAACTATTTGTTGTTCTTTGTGTGAATACCATTTATCATCATATATGAAAACATGCTGTCTCCAATGCCCATCAGATATGCTAGCATTTAATTAAGTGAATTAGTGAAGCAATACGTCCAAAGGACTTTTTTCCTTTCACGTTTTTGCTTCTCTTTGTTTTCCTCCCCAGCTTCTTCTAATGACTTCCTTTGCAGTGGGATAAAGTATGTTGTAGTTTCCTCTGATTTGAGTTAAAATTTATAAGTCATGACATAACTTGGCTTTGGTTTTTTGGGAGAATTATCAACGAGGATCCACCGTTCAAGCCTAATATCATCTGAAATGTAGTTCAAATTTTGAACTGAATAACCATATTCTGATTATTCAGAATGTCTATGCAATCCTAAGCTGTAACCAGGTTTCTGTATAGAATTATCCCTTGATTGTTTTAAGCCTAGCTCCTGTTCGATCATTCTACACAAGGAAAAGTAATATATAAATTCTATAGAATATTTTTTTTTCTACCTCCTGTCCTGCATTTCTAGTGCCTTTGATTGTCATTTGTTGCTTCAACAACTTGCTATAAACCTGAGTGACATGATGCAATTACAAATACCATAATGTAAAACAAATTATTACGCAATAAAATAAAAGCACGAGCATTTGAAAGTGAATGCATTGTTGAATTAGGGATACAGTTGCTAATTACATTTCATTTATCTCCTCCGTTTATAGGCCATGCTAACTTTTGGTTTTAAAACTTGAACAGGTAAATTGAACATTCAACTTTCAAATGTGTATTAGTGATCGCGCGATGATTACTTAATTATTCTCTTCCTCCTTACTGACTGTGAAAGTCATTTGAAATCACTCTGTGGTTTAGATGAACAATAGACGATAACGAGTCACAACAAACAAAACCTCTGTTGAGTTAAGCTATTTAGAACCAAATTTTTTAAAAGAGAAAATAAAGTTTGATACACAAGTTTTTACCGACATATTAATTTATCCATAGGCACACTGATCTTAGATATTGAAATGCTAATCATCCATACGTAACACGAAAATTAAATGCACTAAATTTAAGGAAAAAGAGAGGATATGCCTGAGGTAATTATAGAAGTGATGGTAAAATAGAGAAAGAAATTGTCAGAAGTGGGATTTGAACCCACGCCCTCTCACGAAGACCAGAACTTGAGTCTGGCGCCTTAGACCACTCGGCCATCCTGACGGTTGATACTACTTCTTTAATTATAATTAAATTTTAAGGCCTAGTAAGTGAACCCAAAACCAAAACCAAAACCAAAACAAGTCACGAGCGAGGAAGAGGAAAAGTTTGAGGACAGCATTCTTTCCATTTTCCCTGTTTCAGCACCTTTTATCCACTACAATTTTTGCTTCACCTCTAGCTGATTCTGAAAGATGGGTACGGTGTCGTTTGCCTTGGGACTCTTACCTTGCTCTTCTTCTTACGGTCAAGTTCGATTTCCCGTTTTGAACAACACCAACTCCCTCAAACTGAGTTTCTCAGCAAGCATTTCTGCTCCAATTCTCCATCAAAAACGCTCCACTGTTCCTTCTACTCTTCCTCTAAGGCTTCGCCCTCTCACCGTCGTATCTGCCAAAGGCTACAAAATGAAAACCCACAAGGTCCCTCTCTCTCTCTCTCTCTCTCTCTCTCTCTTCCACTCCTCTTTTTGATTTTGGGTTCACGCAATTTGAATGTCTATTTGGCTTTGGTTATTGCTTTAGGCTTCGGCAAAACGATTTAGGGTTACGGGTCGAGGCAAAATTGTGCGTAGGAGAGCCGGAAAGCAGCATTTACTTTACAAGAAGAATACAAAGCGCAAATTGCGACTCTCCAAAATGGTCAGAGAATAATACTAAATTGTATAATATTTATTTTCACTAAGCATAGTTGTGCAGTTAGTTAGAGGATTGTTTTAGGGCCTTCTCTTTTATTTGGTACGCTACGAGGATAAATTGAACATTAAGATATTGAAACTTCTTCGCTTAGTAGTTTTTTGCATTTCATGTCTATATGTCAATGCCTGAGAGCAATGTTGATCTTATGCTCCAATTTATTAGGAGAAAGGTCTTAGGCAACTTTTAAAGTACCCCCTCTCTTTCCTATGAAGCGTCAATTATCACATAATTGAGTTTGGTCCTTGAAATGTATTTTTCTTCTAGGTTCCTAATTGTGTCACCAAATACCAAGTTCATTTCAAGGGTGCATTTCTTGTTTCTTACAGACGGACTGTGTTTATTGTATGAGAATCTGAAACTTACTCATTGTAGCACTCTGTAGGAGATATAATTTTTTTAATAACATTAGGGGATATTGTTAAAAGCTCTTGTATATGGTGCCATGCCATTCATTCATTGCCTTTTTATATATATTCTCCAAATCAGTGCATCAGGATTTGCACAGCCAAAATAACACTCTCTTATGTCTCTCAAATGCCTTGAGCAATGTATTCCAAGTTTCACATTTTCTATTGTCATTTCAAAATCTTAATTTAGCAAAGCATACACAATTGACTTGTCCAATATAAACAAATATCAACTACAATTTGATCTGATAAATTATGTGAAGTGCTAATGTATAGCTATATATGAAATGCATGCATCAGATTGATGTCATATGGAACTTGGTAAGCTTATTCAAATCATCAATTGAACTAATGCTCTGTAGTTCATTCGAATTGATTGCTTTGTAAGAGATAAAATGAATTTTATACTCATTAGAGAAATCCAATTGTTGGGGTTTCTTCTCATCTTGATCTGGGGGCTTCTACCAAACCCACATCCATCCCAACAAAAATTGGATTTCTCAAACGATGTGGCTGGATTAAGCTGAAAATGTTGCATTTGTTGACCTGTAGTTATTTATGCTTCCTCTTAAATTTTCTTGTTCTGGTTTGAAGCAGTTTAAATGACTGAAGTTTTGGCTCGGGTTTGATATAAACTATTGTATCAAATTATGGGATTGGTTTTCTCATGCCTAACTTATTTTTTATTGTCATGCACAGCACCCAGTCAGCAGGAGTGACTATGACAATGTAATTGGAGCCTTACCATATCTGAAAGTAAACAGAAAAGCTACATAGATTTCGTGTTTGCAAATCCTAGCTAGGTTTAGTCTAGAGATTTGTGATGTCTCCAATATGCTTTTACCTCTTCTGAAAGTTACTATATTTTTCAGATGAATACAGGCAGTTTTTTCTAATTGAGATATCAGTACCTCAAAAAAATGGTACACCTTCCTGCATCATGTAATAGTTTGTATCATCGTATTGTAACTTGTAGTATTTAATTATTACATCTTCCTATTTATCTTTGGAATTATTTAGCCAGGTATGCTCAATCATGTGATCATCATAGTCTATTTGTTGAGTAAATGAGGAATGTCAACAAAATGCCTCTATAAGAAATCCTTTGAAACACTATTATGTAAAATCCATGAAGAATCCACATAATTTAACGAGTACATCGTTTCTTTAAGTAAAATTTGGGGCAGCATGGTTTATAATTTGAAACTGGATCGTCCGGGTGCAAAAACAAATAATCCTTTTGCTAATATTGCAACATATATGTTTTCTGACTAACTTTTATTATCGTCATCTAAAATGGGATGTACTTTGAAGAGTAAAGTGCATGATTGATAATCATTGATAAGATCACTTTTATGATACACAACCCACGGAACCATAATAGTATTTCTATTTTCTGATTGTGTTTACAAAACAATTTTTTGTATTCATATTTTTATTTCTTTTAATTTAAAAAATTGCAACATTTTTCACAAAAACTATTCATGCGAATATCATTACTTTTATAATATTTGATGTAGATATTATTTCATAGAAAATAATGATTCACAAAATGTTAAATGAGATTATAGTCCAATCATAACGGGGTGCATTTTTTTTTCAATTAGCTTTGTATTGTGTAGGCGTAATATAGTATGAATAGGGTTAAAAGTATTTTTATTCCATGAAAATATGATTTTATTCTAGTTTTGTATAATTTTTATTTGTTTTTTATTCTTAATAATTGCAAAATATCTACTTTTAATTTTCTATAGAAAAATAAAATTGCATAATTGTTATTCAATATAAGACTTAAAAATAAATATTTTTATAAAAAATTAAAAATATTATATTTTTAAAGGTTAAATATATATTTAAGTCGTATGATAATATGTATCCAAAAATGGTGGAAAACGATGACAAAGCGATCTACGAAAGTGTAATTAATGATTAGAAAAAGTAAAATTAAGAGTGCAAGAAATTGAAGGGGAAAGCATTACTTACGCATTAGGTAAGAAAAGAGTTCACTTGTCAAAAGTTGAACCATTGGCAACAAATGCTACCGTCACTTAAAGCGAAAGAAAGAAAGAAGGGACCCACATTATCCATACTCTGAATTCGTTTCATACGTGTCTGCCAGCACACGCGCTGACAAATACCAACACAAAGGTTACTTTCGACAATTAACAGGTTCGCACGTGACACTCGATCACGTGCACGCCGAGCACACCTCAGAATCATCGAACAATTTGTTTTTGTTTTTGTTTTTGCCAACTGCCAACTGCCAACTGCCAACTGCCAACTGCCAATTGCGAAACCTCTTCTTCTTTTCCTCTTTCGTCTTCGTCGTGTTCTTTATAGGGTTTTTGCCAACTGCCAATTGCCTTTTTTTTACTTCATTGTAAAACTTGTTGGTTCAGCTAATGGGTTCAAGGAACCTTCGTTCAGACTTTGAAGCAGTGCCGGTAAAGTTAGAGATTGAGGACGCGCTAGAAGAAGACCATTCTCCTCCTAGCATGCGCTTGAAACCTCCATCGCCTTCACGAGAGGTTTTTTTTTTTTTTTTTTTCATTTTTCTTGCCAACTTTGGTGAGCTTAGGCTATTTAAGGAACCGGTTTGTGCTCAAGAGTGGAATGACTTGGAAGAATGTGATCTTAGGCTCTTTTTTTTTTTTTTTTTTTCTCTCTTCAAGTCCTGTTTTTTCATTGGAAGTCAAATGATGTGTTATGGCAAGTTGAAAACATGATATTTTCGCTTGTGATCCTAACTCTCTTTTTGTTTCCTTTACTGATTTATTAAGGGCACTCATCAGCTAATCCCTTTTACTGGAGCCAAAACAATACTTAAATTTTCGATTCTGATATGTTTACAATTACAACGCTTTCTTACCTAAGAAGGGGATTGAGGAATCACCCTCCTGGTATGGATGGTGATCATTAAGTCAAAATAGCCCAGTCCAAATACGCTCATTTTTATTTTATCGTTCTTTTTCTCGAATAGATACACTTGTAGCAGGGGTTTAACGGTTTAAAATTAATAGTGTCTGCCTCTGTCCTATCTAACATCAAGAGTTGGCTTTACAGTCATTACTTCTTGACAGAAGTAATATACAGATGAGATCATAGAAAATGCATTTTTATCACAAGCGTGGTTAAAAGAAGTCTGTGTTAAAATTTTACTGGTTTTTCCCCATTTTTTTATAAGCTGTGTGTTTAATAATGCTCATTTTAGTAACTTCCTTTTCTCCTTGTGCATGGTTTTAAAAATCATTTAGCAATGGAATGCTTCAAATGGTGCATCTTCCAGTTCTCCTTCGCAGTACAACATACTGGATGAGCCTAGCCCTCTTGGTTTACATCTGAGGAAGAGCCCTTCGCTTTTAGATTTGGTACAAATGAAGCTTTGTCAAGGGAGTATGTTTGTTGCAAATACCCAAAATGAAAACTTATGCTCCGGAATGAAAAAGGAGAGTCGAGGTTCTGTCGAGAAGCTTAAGGCTTCAAATTTCCCAGCTTCATTTTTAAGAATTGGTTCATGGTAGGTATATTCAAGAAACACTACATGTCACTAGTATTTTGGGAAAATATATTTTTCAATGAATATTAATTAGCTCAAGCTTCTCTTTATGGCAGTATAAATCAAAACACGAGGGTGACTTAGTGGCAAAATGTTACTTTGCTAAACATAAGCTTGTTTGGGAAATTCTTGAAGGTGAGCTAAAGAGCAAAATGGAAATCCAATGGTCAGATATTATGTCACTTAAGGCAAATTGTCCTGATAATGGACCTAGCTCATTGACCGTAGTGGTAATTTATTCCCCATATTTTGTTATCTGTACAGCTAATATAATAGTTCTTTTACATGCAGACACCAATGCATGGATAAACTTTCAATGTGCATGTATTTATTGGTGAGTTTGTATACTGCAGCTTGCTAGACAGCCTCTTTTCTTCAGGGAGACTAATCCTCAGCCCAGAAAACATACATTCTGGCAGGCAACATCAGATTTTACTGATGGAGAGGCTAGCAAGCACAGGTATGTTCTTTTCAGAGTCTCTCATATGTGGAATTAGGCTCAACTGTATTTGTACAGATGAAAAATATTATGGTTTCGTTGATTTATTGTAAGCTGGGAAGGATAACCAGCATTCAATAAAACCTTTGTCTGAGTATGTCAAATAACAGCACGATAGCTTATTGAAATAATTGAGGAAGAGAGGGAGGTCAAGTTGCATTTTTAACGTAGTATTTATTGGCTTTAGAGGACTCTTAATGTACATTTAAAAGCATTTATTGTGAAGTGTTTCTTATTGTAAAGGAACCATTTGGTTAAATTTCTTAGTTTTCATTTGTACTAGATTGGTACTACATGTTTAGGCACTATGATCCTATATTTACTAGGCCTTTGTGTTTGCAAACTGCATCTTGTGGTTTTGTAGGCAGCATTTTTTACAATTTCCACAAGGAGTGTTAGCCAAGCATTTTGAGGAGCTTATTCAGTGTGATATGCGTCTTAATTTCTTAAGCCGACAGCCAGAGATAATTTTGGATTCACCTCACTTCGATACACAACCTGCTCTTTTTGAGAACATTGACAATCCAGAAGATTGGGATTTGCATCTAGTCAATGGTAAAGGATCTACCCCGTCTTGTTTGCAGGACATAGGATCTCCTCATTCATCCCTGTCACCATCATTTAAGATTGAGTGCAATGATCACTTTGGCCTTACCTTGGATAATCTGCCTTGTGAAGCACCTTCCCCCAGTTCAGGTACTATAAGAACTTGCTCTTGTTATGATTGCCCTGGTTATTGGCCCTTTTGTTTCATCAATTAACATTCCCCCCCCCCCCCACCACCCCGGTAGTAGTGGTTTTTGCTATAGATCTACCATGTTAGTATCACTATGTTCTGTTGACAACGATGAAACTAAATGTGACATAACCTTTATGAAACTTGTATTATGCATTAGCTGTTTCATTGATTAGTCAAATATCTAGAACATTGCTTGTGGTAGCCAGCAGCTCTACTCTGTTGTAAGAATATAAAATTCTCCTCCAATATTTGTCAAATGTGATATGGTTATAAAATATCGATGATGGATCAGAAATCTACCACTGTACTTTTAACATGTCAATTTCATCTAGTTCAATATGCTTAACTTGCTGAATACCATTGTTGTCACATCTACTGGAAGCAAGATTGAGATTGAGCATAGCATGAATAATGTCAAATAATATTTGGCATCAAACATCCCATATTTTGTGCTTTATGTTTTCCATTACAAATGTCGCTTCAGAGTTTTTATGTTGCAATTTAGCTTAACTTATATTTAGCTGTCTAAGCAAATCTGCATTTAGGTTTTCCATGTCCATCTTTCCTTTATATTCTAATGTGATATGATATGGATTTCATCACTATACACATTCTGTGTATGCAGTATGTACGTGGCTTTATAATGAACTTAAATTAACTGGTCATTTCTATGGCTTAATTATTAATTTGTGTTGGCACCCTTAGATATCTAAAGCTGACTTTTATGTGCATGTGTTGTGCTTTGTATTAACTTGTTTTGTTTGTCTTTTACCAAAAAAAAAAAAAGTCATGGACTACCGTGCAATTGAAGGGAGTTCAAATTCTGAAACTGATTCCAAGGGCCCAAGAAGTTGGGATCAGATAAAATTGCCTGGACTCCGCCCTTCTATGTCAGTGAGTAATTTTAATGACCACATTGAACATTGCCTTTCTGAACAAATAACTTCCGGGAGTGCATCCTTTTCTGGAGGAAGACCCGAGTTCCAGGAAATACTAGAAGAAATTGCACAGCATCTGCTTAATGACAATCAGGTTACAACAACGTCTGATGAAAAATCACTCATGTCGAGGGTCAATTCTCTCTGCAATCTTCTGCAGAAGGACTCGGCTGCAGTGCAGAATTATGACAAGGTAAGCACTGTTGAAGGACCCGACGATGGAAAAAATATTCAACTTAGTCATGATCTTGAATCAATGCAGAACCAAAAAATTAGAATGGATGTCAAACCTGCTAAAGAGGACTTGAGAGATGTTTCTGGTGGCAAGCTGGTACCAAGCATGTCCAGGAAAGACTCCTTTTGGAGAGTTGCTTCTTCACCTCCCTCGAATTGCATCACTTCCAAAATTCTTGTTTAACATATTAGAAGAGGATAGTGAGAGTTAAGCCTGATAGTTATTCTGATGTTTCAAATTTCAAAACGGCTTAGATTAAGGTGTATAGATGATATGTTGTGTCTTCATAAGCGTGAAAGGTTATATTTTTGCCATGGGAACCACTGGGATTTGGAAAATATTTTAATGAAAAATCCTGGTAAAGCCCGTGTGTAAAAGATTGTTACAGTTACTCTAGCTTTATTTTCTGCTCTTCCTTCCGGCTTTGGTAGACAATTGCTTGCATGTAAGAATATACTAAATTTTGTGTTACCTTTTAAAATATTGGGTGTATGAATCTAGTGTATCGGCTGTTCCGTTACTTCTGTAACCAGACGTTGCCACGGTTTGTTCCGGTGGCTCGTAAGAAGTTAATTCCTTAAATATGGTTCTCAGGGTTTCCCAAAAATCCTTACTTTTCTTAAGAGTGCTGTCTGGACATTGCAGCAGAGGTAGCCCCAGTCGTCAATTATATAACAACAAAAATCGAGATAAAAGAATCCGGGATTTGCAGCATTCACGCATCTGTTCAAGGTTGAATTGTTCTACAATATTTTACCAAACGTGTCGTATACCTTGTACCTAACATATTAAAAGGGTGTTGCTTTCCTGATGATCAGATTGAGAAGCGTGCACACCTAAGTATATTTGGTAATGAGTTGGGTGGGGAAAACTGTTATCTCAGACCTGGTGAATCTAGAGATTTGGAAAATATTGCTTGCCAAATCAAACTTGAGAACTTAGAAAGAAAAGTACCAGTTGTCCAAATAAACAAGTTGTAAATAATATTCACAAATTATACAATATTTAGAAGGTAGGAAGAAATATGTACAAAGGGGAGAAATTGAAACTGAATTGGTCCATCAGCTGTACAAATGGTTAACTGGTTGAACTAGGGCATCTCAACTTTGAATATAGTTTATGTACAATTGAATACTTCCATCACATCTAATCTGCCAGGATGAAGCAGGATCAGGAAGGAGACGATGAATGAATGGCGGTTTCAGGTAACATGGCTACTGTCACTAGGAAATATTCACAGCCAACGGGGAGACCGTATGGGTTTGGAGTTGATCCTGAATTCAAGGTCAACCAGTCAGTCCCCTTGTCAGGGGTCAATTTATCAGCCCTACCACGCTCAGGCCGAGGAGGCAGTGCCTTTGCGGTTTGGCGTTCAATATGCACAATTTGTCCAACAATGTAGTTAGGTCTGCTTGGAAGATGGTCTGCAAACAGGGCTACAGATTCATCAGATAAGTAGTAGTTAGAGCAGTTCCTAGTAATTGCCTCATAATGCCCAGCTGGAGTGAGCACAAAGGCAGCAATCTCATGAGCTTCTAGGCAACCAAAAGAAATCTTCTCTTTATTTGCCTGCAGCATAATCGCAAACAGAATATAACTCAGTTCAGAATTTGAAATGACAGAACTGGCATCTATGTGCAGTCACAATAAAAATCATTCATGTAATCATAAGACATGTAGTCTTTCTGGCTCCAAAGAAAGTCAGCCAGCTGTAGTTGAAAAATAGCCCCTCAGAGGAACACAAATTATTGTCACGTTCTGTTAATTAAGAAACAAGAAACCCAGAGCTATCATAAACAAGACAATAAATCACCTGCTTCTCAAGTTGATGTTTATTATAATATGTTTTGACCTGCTCTATTTTCTCCTCCAATTCTTTCCGAAGCTGTTCATTAGCAGCCTCCACTTGTGTGTACTTCTCGTGCAGCTCTTCACGGTGCCTAGATAAGAAACCAACTTTATCGGCCAATACACGAATGCATTTTCGGAACTCAGCAATATCATCATCATCTCTGTCATTAGCAGAACTGAAAAGAGAAAAAATTTCAATCATCATTCTAGTCACAATTCATAAAGAATAAATATAAAATATCACTGGAAAGCAGACAACATAACAATAGTCTAGAATCTCTCCTCTATTTGATGACAAACAGCAAGGAGCTTTGTTGGGGATTGTTTATATTTAGCTGGCACAAAGCCTTTTACTTAATTGTATAAATTATCAAGTCTTGACTGAACAAAGTTATTGCAAGACGAATTCTTTTATTATATATGATCTCATTGACATTAAACTTCACGGATGCATATCTCTACTACCAAAATGTGTGCCTTATTTCAAGGACTGAATAAGAGTGAGGAAGTTACTTTCATCACTATCGGTCTACCACCATAGAATTTTTCTCATATCTCAGTGAGAATGGATGCTATATTGAGGGGAGAATATAAAATTTTCCAAGGCCTCTTAAACCCTAAATGATTAATGGACGTAACTTACTTGGCCAAAGATTGTGCCAAATTACGTAGGGAATCGGAAAAACCAGTGACACCACCAGGAGAATAAACACAGGTCTTGAGTCTTTCAAAAAAGCTGCGCATTTTAATAACAGATGCACGTAGTAAACTATACTCTGAGGCCCTTCTGTCAGCAGAACTTTTCTGCGTCTGAGCTTCCTCCCTAGCCTCATGCAGACAATTCTCCAAGTGGGCACAATTCATCTGTGATGAAAGAGGAAAAGTACATTAGAATATAAAAGGAAAGCACAATAATGCACCAACAATGAGTAAATTAATGAAGCATTAAATAAATTTCAACTACGTATAGTTCATCCTAGATTCCTTCTAATCAGACACAAATTTTAGATGCAAATTTCTTAATCAATATTCAATCATGTCAATCCATCTTCATGCAACAACTCAACTAAATATAAAAAAAGAATCAATTAAGAATCTTCATTTGGCTGGATTTTTTAACAAAGATGCCTGTTGTTCAACCAAACAGAATTTCATTGAGTTCAACTTGTCTACAGCAAACTTGTCAACTGCCAAGAGTCAACAAAACCTCTGCTTAGCAGTGTTTCATTGAGCAACAAAATCAATATACTACAGATGCCTTTGAAAATTCATTATTAATAATACATCTATTATCATTTAGATGAATCTATAGAAACTAAAATACAATAAGCAGAATGTGGGTGTTGATGGCATAGGCTATGGGAAGATGATAGAAATGACAAAAGCCTAGTTTGGGTAAACTTCTAGAAAAATCATCACAGAAGAAAAAAAATTAATAAAAAAAATGAATAGAACTTCGTAGAAACAACTTATGTTTCTCTATTTTTATAGAAACTCTCTGATTTAACTTCTCTAAAATTTGAGATAAGTTGTTTTTAACTTATAATAGAATTTTTATTAATTTTTTATACTGTTTTTTTCTTTTTTAATAAAGACTTCTCTAGAAGTTTACCTAAATAAGACCTAATTTCTTTTTTGGTCTTTTGACAGAATCATTGAACACTTTCAGATGAAGTAACCGCAGGTTGCATGTTTGTGTAACAAAGACAATAGAGAAAAGGAGGGACAAAGATTTGAAAATGACATTAAAATTGTAAAGTGAGAAATTAATAATAAAGACAAAATAATAGAGTTTAGGTCAATCAGGCAAGCAGACTCTTAGAAAATTAAATTGCAAACCTAAAATGATATGTCTGATTCAATTCCAAAAGTTACCTGAGATTCATCAAGTAGTTTTTGACTGGCTTCCAACTCCCTTTTCAGCACGGCAACCTCCTCCATAACAGCTTTAAGCTTTGTTTCAGTTTCATTCAATTGATTTGACTTATCTGCAAGTCCATTTTGCAATTCCAACAACTTATCATCGTTTACTTTGGAATCCAATTCTGGACAAACTGCCAAGTCAGAAGGTACAAGATCATGTGGCACAGGCATGCTCTCACCAGTAGAACTGTTTGTTAGTGACATGCCTAATTGTCCAATTATCTTGTCTTTATTATCTTTATCAGCACTCTGTGCTTCTTCACGATGAGGCTCCATCATAGATGAATCCAACTGTGGGTTCTGAATTCCAGAGGAATCCAACATGTTTTCATCCACCCCATCTAATGCTTTACCAGTATGTTCTGAGAATAAACCAAGTTTTGCATCCAAGGAACTTGAGATGCACGAAACCTCATCCATGGGCTCAGTAGTAGATATGCAAGGCATGTGGGCTTCACCACTGACATATTCTGACTTGTAATTATCTGTCTTCCCAGCAACAAGGGGAAAGTCAGCTGCATCGCTTACACTAGACATCCTCTGCCCCTGCACATACTGATCAGACAATTTCTGCTCCAATTCTTGAATACGTTTTTCATATGACACACACTGCATCTGCTTCATCTTAAGCATGGATTGAACGTGTTTAACATATTCATCTTTCAAATGCAAGGCTTCTGCTGTCTTCTCTGTGGCTTTCTTCAGTATAGTATCCACCCTTTCATCATCCAGTGACTCATACTCTACCTCAGGGCAGAGAGAACATATTAAAGCTATTCTAGCAGCAAGATCAGCTTTCAGCTTTGCATTCTCAACTTCCATCTTGCAGGTTCCAGCAATTTCTATCAACTCACTGCCATCAAGGAGGTCCTCAGAATCATCTCTCTCACTTGAGTCAGCAGAAATATCAACAGCCTCAGCCAAGTGAGAGCTATTACTACTCAAAGAGGATGAACCTTTAAAGCTTCCATACTTCTCCAGCTTGGATGTTACTCCTACTAAATATTCAGGAGCATAACGATCCACATCTGATATGTCAATATTGAGCAAATTACCATCAAATGGAGCTATATTAACATCACAATGGTTAGGAGAGTCATACAATCCCATAGATGCTAATACATCTTTAGGAATGCATGAACTATGTGCTCTCAAAAACTCCTCCCGTTTCCTGACCTCGGCATCCCTTTTTAGAGCAAGCCTTTCAGCCATTTGCCCAGCCATACCCATGTACAGCTTCATAGAAGCCTTTCGTCTTACTACTTCTGCAAGGCAAGCTCTGTATGCAGGACCAATACCATGGAACAACTTTAAATCTGCAAATAAGCCATCCTGACGAGCCATTGCCTCTTTAAAAACAGGGAATTGTAGTTTTTGGTCTTTGATGAGATAAGAAACGTAAGTTATGTTTTGCAAGTAATTGTGCACAAAGATGTTCATCTCATTCTTGTTTTCCTTGCAAAACTCAAGTAGCTTTGAAATAGCACGATCACAAGCCTGCATTTTAGGCAAGTGATTTTTGTCATGAACATCATACATAGGACCCAAGGCTGAAACTGCATCATGAGGACGAAGTGAGGAGGACAACTGGGAGGATAGGCAATCATCCACCAGTTTCTTTACTGTGTTTACATCTTTGCTGCATAAATCCCAATAAAAATATAATTTATAAGTCATGTGATAACATTTGACAGAGTAAAAATTGAATTATAGTAATCAATAAGTGCATCAATAGGAATCTGGAATCAAGTATTATTTCATGTTGCGTCTCCTCTAGTGAACTTTTAATTACTCCTAAATACTAGAAAGAAAATTCTCAACTGTCCAAGTTTCATAATGACATATTCAACATGAAATGTGTCAACAAAGTTACAGAAGTAGCGCATAATTATTTGAAATCAGGCCTGCTAAAACAACATACAAGAAGTTGAGAACCAGAATTTGAATATTAAACTCATGATACAAGTGACAAAAGTTACAAAACTCACAGCTAAGTCAAGATAAACATTAACGAGGAGCTTTGTATAAAAAATAGTTGAAAATAAAGGACAACTAACCTCAGGGATTGCATGATACTCTTTTGTTCATTTATATATTTCCCGTGTTCTTTAATTGCCTGTTCTAAACTCTTAATGGGCAAGAAAGACCGGCTGGAGAACAATTCTTCAACCCGGCGCTTTGCTTCCCCAAAAGTCTGCTTAAATTGTGACATTTTATTCTCAAACTGCTTATGGGAAGTGGTGCAATTCTCCACTGACTTCCTCAAGTTTTCTTCCTTGACCAAATCCAGCAAGCATTTGCGATCAGCAGTTTGTAAAGCAGGGTGGAGTTTGATGGATCTTAGTTTCTCAACATCCTTCCCAAAATTCACCAAAAGTTCAGAGTGCATCCTATGTTGTTGCATATAACGTCTCATGAAGTCCCCGTAATTTTGGCAAATCAACCTATAGTACTGATCCAAATTACCCCTTGCGACCTCCACTGCTCTTTCTTGGACCATCTGTTCTCTCAAAAGCCTCTCACAATGCTCATATTTCAATATAGTACTAGTATAAATTGCATGCCCCCGGTGATAATGGTACCTGAATTGCCGCTCATAAGAAGGTAAAGCCTTCAAAGCAGGATCTGAAGCATCATCAAGAGGGTGGGCATCATGGGAGGAGGATGGTGATGGAGGCTCCAAATGATTGGGAATATCAAGTTGCTCAGGTGGTGGAGGCGGCGCGTTGTTTTGAAGCCTTACTTTATTGAATATGAACACTTCTCGGTCATTTGATGGAAGCTTGTATGCAGACAGGGGCCGATGCGACTCGAGCTTCGTCTCCAAACAAAGAACAAGTTGATCACTGAAATTAATCCCAGTATCAGATTCAATATGCCTCATAACAGCCTCAACAAGTGTGTTCTCATCACAATCAAACTCAAAGGAGTGTCCATTCTCCGCAATATGAACAAGTAGCTGGCCCTGATGGACCAAACTTCCAGTAACGCAGGAACTCATCTTATCCACAACTAACTCCCAACCAACACAACAAACCCTCAATCACAACCTCCTTCTTCCACCACAAAAGGAACACCAATCAACACCAAACAAGGGTTCCAATCAAACTCTCAGGTATAGCTGAAACACGACACCACCAAAGCAATTCATCTTAATCCTTTTTTAACCACGCAAGATTTTACTTTACCCCCAGAAAATTAAAAAAAAAAAAAGGAGAAATCTTTCGATAAGAAGTTAACAAATCCTCAAAAAACCGAATCCGGAAAAGGGTCCAATCATCGGCAGAAGAAAACAAAACAACGAATTTTTCGATGAAATTTCAAATCAATCAATCCAACGCTTAAGACTGCAACAATAGCTCAACTTTGCACATAACCAACAGAGATATTCGACCAAAGACACGAACTTTAACCTCGGATCCTCTCAAAAACCCTAGTTAAAAGCACCCCACGTGAACCACAATGAGAACGAGAATGAAACACCCTTTATAATCAAGAGGCGACAATGAAAATGCCCCAAAAGAAACGAAACTATCAAAACCCAGAAAAGACGGCGAAGAATAAACCCAAATTATGCAGCAGGGAAGTAAGAATCCAACAAGAGACAGCGCATAGGTAACAAAATTGATAAGCACAAAACAGTTATTTCTTTATCTGTTTTTTTAATTAAAAAGGGGGAAAAGGGTAAGACGAAAATCTTGGAGTGGTGAAGAAGAAGATAAACGATGGTTAGAGTAGATTACGTGGGGGTTTTGATTTTCCAGAATCTCGGATAAACAGAAAAACAAGGTTGTTACGAAACCACACCTTCCTTTGATGATTTCTTAGAAATCACAACTAAATAAAAAAACTGTTGTTTTTCTTCCTCTCTTTTCTATGTATTTACTCTTCTTCATTACCCATCACTTGTTTTATAGATTCCACACAGAACCTTCTGCGGGAAGCAACCCTCGATGGCAGAACCTCTCTCTCTCTTCTCTGAACGTTTGGAAGGATTGAAAAAGCAAGCACTGTAGTGGGAATTCTTATATCTCGAATTATAAAGTGTAATCTGCATTTAATAACTGTTAACTTTTAACTTTAGTGATGGTAATCATTTAAGATTCTCATGGAGAGAGATAGAGAAACATTGCACCGACTTTTATAACTTTAGTTAATTCAATTTATTTATATTTTACTAGTTTATCTTCTTTTATTCTGAATCGTAAAAATGATTTTTTGTTCGAATCTTCGTGTAAACAAATAACTGTTTTCTTTTTCCTTTCTTCAAGAAAATAACTCATTCCCAATATATGCACACATTTAAATCTAAACTGCATTTATTATTAAAATTTCTAACTCTTGTGACTCATATATTAATTTTTTAAAAAGTTGAATATTTAATTTTAATAAACTTAATTTTAAATCATTAAATATATATACATAAATTAATAAATTTTAATAAAATAAAATAAAATAAAATATTTTTTAAAATATATAAATTTTTATTTATAAATATATTAATTATTAAAATTTTAATGTTTTTATTTATTATAAAATTTATATAAATGTGAATGATGGATATATTCTTTCATCTAATATATGAATTATTAATTAAATTTTTTAATATTATAAAATATTTTTAAATATATCATAAATTATAATATGTAACTAATTTTTATATATTAACAATTTATTATAAATTTTCTATGTTTTTAAAAAATAATAATATATATTTAGAGAAATGTGTCAAATAATTAAAAATATATAAAATTTTTAGTAAAAATATAATATTTAATGTTATTGATACCATAAATTCTATAACATCTAATTCTTTTTAATAAATATATTTCTATGTATATCTTTTAACATTTTTTTTTTGTTTTTATCTTTCAACATATTTTAAAAATTATTAAAAAACATGCATAATAATAAATAATTATATTATTAATCTGGATATTAAATAAATAAATATGTTTCTTTGTATAAATAATAAATAAATACTTTGTCAACGTACAATTTTAAATAGATAAATATATAAAATATATTTAATAATTAATATATTTAAAAATAAATTTTAATTTTTATAATTAAAATTAAAAGTATATTTATTACTTTTTAATTGTATATATTAAAGTGTCATTACTCTGGCCTTTAAAGTAAATATTTCAATTGAATTTTAAAAGATGATAATTAGTACATTTAAGTTACTGGTTAAAAACTTAAAAGAATGTTTTAATTAAAAATACTATTAAATGCATATTTATCATAATTTTAAATACATTTTTTATTTCTTTGTTAGGAAGAGCTTTTAATTATATACGAAATATATTCATCCGTTTGAGAAAGGATACTGTTTTAAGTGTTTATATATATATATATATATATTAGCTTTGACTTTGCATAGAATTTACCCAAGTAATAGTTCACAGCTGGATTGCCGTAAGTTTCTATTGACCGTTGCCATAACCCAACAAACAATGAAGCTAGAAAACATTTTAATAACTAAAATTATAAAACACGTGTTTCACCGCTTAATTAACTATCCATCCACCAACCCATCTTTCTTCCTTGTCGTCAATATATCTTTAATCTTTTATCTTTATCAAATACTTACCCATGTAAATATTAAAAATTGAAAATATGAAATAATTGAAAACTCGGTCATATAAATTTAATCGAAGTAATTGTTAAAAATAAATTAAAAAATATTATATAACAAATTTAATAAACAAAAAAACAAAATTATACGTAAATAATACGGGATGAGTGTCTTTTTTTTTTTTACTAAAAATATGTTTAAGAGAAAAATTTTAGAAAAAAAAGAGAAAATAACTTATTTTTTAATTTTATATTAAAAGAATTATATATTATTTAAAATGATAAATATATTATTAATACATTAAATTTTTTTATTATATTAATTTATATTTTTATTTTTAAAAATTAATTTTAAATATATTTATTTAAAATATAAAATAAGCTTTCTCCTCCTTCTTCTTCTTTTTTTAAATTCTCTCCCAAACATATCTTAAGTTTTCTTTAAATTTAAAATTAAAAATAAATTAAATTAAGTTAAACTTTGCAGTACTTGAATTTAATTTATTTCGAAAATTGAAGACTTGAGTTTAACTTCTTACGTTAAACCATGAAATCACTATTTGAGGATGATTTTATCATTCTACCGACTGAATTGAGTTCGAAAGCTGATTCACAGTTATGCTCAAAGAGATATACAGCCAAATACTTAAAGACAGCAGAAAAGTTATAAGATTAAAATTATAAAAGATACAAAAAATATATATTATGAATAAAAATAAGTCACATTGTCTAATAAAATTTATGATTTATTTTTTTAAAATTTAACTTATTTAAATAATAAATTTAATTTAATTTTAAAAAATTAAATTAAATTAAATAAATATATCAGAATTCATAAGCTTAAAAAAAATTATTTAACTTATTTTAAATTTAAAAAAATTATAATAGTATATTAAATATTTTATATAAAAATCATAATATATTATTATACAAATAAATTAAAATTTAAAATAAATAAAATTATAAATTTTAATTTTTTTTATTAAAATTAAAGAATGACTTTACTGTATATCCTGTTAAAGTGAGAATTATACTAAAGTTTTTTGTGCTATTATTATTTGATCTATTTTATATGTATAGTTACTATTTTAATTGCGTTTATTGTTAATTTGACTTATTTATTATATATAATTTTTTTTAATTAATAAAATATATTTTTTAATTAAAATAATAAAATAGTTTTTTATTTAAAATTTTAATATAAAATAAGTCATTAAAAAATTAAACTAAAATAAACTTTAAAAAATATTAGGCTTATCAAATTTTAATTTTAAATTTATTAAATAAATTATATTTATTTATATAAAACTTAATTAAAAATAACCCAGTCTATTTTTATAAATATTTATTAATATAAATAAAAGATATACTTTCACTATTCATTGATACGCATACAAACTTAAAATTTAAATTTTATTATTACTCCTATGTGTATATCAGTATATGTAATTTTTTTATTTAAAATACGCTTAATATTTATATAATTATAAAAAATAATAAACGCAGTCCGTAACTACCCATCGTTTTCTCACATTAGCCATTTCCATAATCTACAACTTGAGGTGTAATGAATTAAGTGACAAAATTAGTCACGTGCTTAAATTTAAGTAGATATAAAATGTACAAACTACAAAGTTGACAATGAATGAAAACCTAAACAGCGTCTTCGTACATTGCATTTTTAAGGAAATAAATAAATTTTAATATATATACTAACTTTACTTCTATTTATAAAAAGGAAATATTTTATTTTTTAAAATTAATAAAAATAATTATATGTTATAATTTATATTCCATTTTTAAAATTTACACAATATTAAATTATCAATTTGGTTAGTGGAAAAGATATTACAGTGAAGGTTAAGGGATAAGTTAATAGCTGCTACTGCAACTTTTTCTCTGAAATTCTCAAATACAGTGGATATAACAGAAGCTTTATATATTATTTTCAATATTAGCACCATCTCGTCGCCATCATCATTATGATTATAACTAAAACTACTTGATTTTTGATATAAGATTCCTTGCAAATTATTTTTCATAAAACCATCTTTAGTTAAAACAAAGTAATTAATTATGTAAAAAAAAAGTTATGAGTTTCAATATTTTTAATTTTTTGTAAAAAAAATCTAACTTATTTATTCATTTAATAATATTAAAAATAATTATTTTCTTAAATCTTTTAAAAAAACTTATAAATATCTTATATTTTAATAAGCTAAGTCAATAAATTGATATATTACCTTTTAATTTTGTTTTAGTCACTCCTTTTAACTTTTCTTTTTCATTTCAAATTTTTAATTTATAAAAGCATTTCAAATAAATTATTTCTTATAAAAAATGTTAATTTTAGGTTTTATTTTTTTAACTCCAGCCTAACTACTGTGTATTTTAACAAACTTTTCTACAACTTTTTTTTTCTTTCCCACCTTCTTCATTTTTTACCTCTCATCATGTTGTCTACAACTCTTTTCCTCTTTCTTTAAACTCCAATTAATTTATTTTTTTCTCTTCATCTTCTTACCTCTCATTTATATCTCTCCCCCCTTTAAATTTAATTTTTTTTCTCTTTTTTTTTTTGTTTTTCAGTTGAATTTTGGATTCATTAATCATAGTAGACATTGATAGATTTCAAAGAATGTTTGTGGGTAGAAGAACCACTAAGCCATCCGCTACTAGATTCTTCCACTTCTATTCCTCATAACAAGTTTACATTTTCTTATACTTCTCAAAATGCTTAAATATGACATGTTTCTCTTTTTGATTCCTTTATTCATTACGTTGAAGAAATCTTTTACCTTTTTCTAATATTAGTGTCTTGATTGATAAAGTTTGAAGCTCTATTCTTGTAGAGGAAGAGTTAGTGTACATACTTCAAAGTAGTATAAATTTAATATTAAAGTAATTGAGGTGATTAGTTTTTGAGAGATAACAATCATAAATAAAGTGGTAAGAAAAGAAGGGAAAAAAAGTTAACCAAAAAATTTGCTGAAATATATTATATTTTTGTCATAATTTACAAGAAGAAAGAATATGAATATTGTTTTTTAACTAAGTTAATATATTTTTGTAAATAATATATTTAAAACACTTTTGTAAAATAAAATATGAAAATGAAAAAAATAAAAGTTAAAAAAATTGAACAGACCTAAGAATCAAGAGATCAATATATTATTTAATATTAAAAATAATTTTATAGTAATATATAAATAAATAAATAAATAGTCAGAGAGTGATATAAGAATTTTTGATCTGTACAATGTATAGAGAGGACTATGAATTGTCAATTTAGCGGGTAAACTCTTTCACAAATTTGTGGAGCCGGGTAAATGGGATATATTAAAAGAATCAATGAATTGAAGTCATGGTTCACATTAAATTAAATATATCATTAGTTACTTATTTAAAAAACGTGTTT